TCTCTCCAGCCGCAGGTTTGGACTCGATATGTAGCTGAGGATGACTCTGAACTTAATTCTCCTAGCTCCACCTCACAAGTGTTGGGAATCAAACTCAGGGCTTTGCGTTCTAGGTCAGCAGTCTATGTCTATATGTCTAATACATTAAATAATGCATTAAATTACAATACAATACACTAACTAATACTTTAAATAATGGGAGCGAGAGAGACGATCCAGGGAGCAAGAGCACTTGTCCTTTTTTTTTTTGTTTTGTTTTGTTTTTGAGACAGGGTTTCTCTGTGTAGTCCTGGCTGTCCTGGAACTCACTCTGTAGACCAGGCTGGCCTCGAACTCAGAAATCCGCCTGCCTCTGTCTCCCGAGTGCTGGGATTAAAGGCCTGTGGCACCACTGCCCGGCGAGAGCACTTGTTTTTATAGAGGACCTTGGTTCAGTTCCCAGCGTTGATGATTAATAATTCCAGAGGATCTGACACTCTCTTCTGGTTTCCTTGGGCACGACAGTCATGTGGTAAACAGACATACACATAAAAAAAGATCTGCCTGCTTTTAATCCCAGCATTTGGGAGGCAGAGGCAGGTGTATCTTTGAGTTCTAGTAAGGACAGCCAAGGCTAGACAAAGAAACCCTATCTCAAAGTACAAAACAAAAATCAAACAAAAAATAATTCATGGTAGATATAATCACTGGCTTGATTTCAAAGTAGAAATAAATACAGATGACTTTTTCAGGGGCCTGCAACTGCAGGGTATTTGGGAAATATCTGTCAGTAGTATCTTGGCTCATGGCTGACAAAAATTATATGAAATATTAACTTTCAGTTATGGTTAGTGAAAATAAAATGTGTTCTCCCTTTCCAAATAAAAAGTTTTATTTAATTTTTTTTCCCCTAAGCTGTGACCCTAGCACTTAAGAGGCAGGTAGATCTCTGTGAGTTGGAGGCCAACCTGGTCTGATATATGAGACCCAGTCTCAAAAAAATCCCAAAACTTTCCTTTGTTTTCTTCTGTTCCTCTTGTCTCAACCTAGCATATGCTGAGATTACAGTTAGGTATTCATCACTATGGATATTAGTGCTAAGATTTACCTCTTACATGTGCTTAGTCAAGTGCTCTGCCACAGAGTAATGTTCTCAGCCTCTCCATTAAAAACTTAAAAAAAAAAAACACTTTTTATGTGCATTGGTGTTCTGCCTACATGAATGTCTGTGTGAGGGTGCCAGATCTCCTGGAACTGGAATTACAAGCAGGTATGAGCTGCCATGTAGGTGCTGGGCATTTTACTTAGGTCCTCTGGAAGAGCAGCCAGTACTCTTAACTGCTGAGCCATTTCTCCAGCGTTCCTTTAAAACATTTTATCTTTCTTCCTCCCTCCCTCCCTCCCTTTCTCTCCTTCCCTTCTTATGTCTCTCTTTCTCTCTCTCAGACAGGGTTTTTCTGTGTATTCCTGGCTGTCCTAGAACTCTCTCTGTAGTCCAGGCTGACCTTGAACTTGCAGAGATACATCTTCCTCTACCTCTCAAGTGCTGGAATTAAAGGCATGCACACCACTTGGCATTTAAAAATGTTTATTATATTTTATGTTTGAGTGCTCAGCTGCATGTACACCTGCATGCCAGAAGGCGGCCTTTTACAGATGGTTGTAAGGTATCATGTGGGTGCTGGGAATTGAATTCAAGATCTCTGTAAGAGCAGACAGTGCTCTTAACTGCTGAGTCATCTCTCTAGCCACTAAAATATTTTTAAGGTGGGAAAATAATTTAGTTTTTTGAGATAAGATCTCATGTAGCCTGTCTATCCTCCAATTCTCTAAGCAGACGAGACTGACATTGAACTTCTGATTCTCCTGCTCCCTTCCCGCCAACCAAGGCCTCGGATTAGAGATATGTTCTGGCCTTGTGCACACCAATACCAATTAAACTCCATTCCCAGCCCTAAAATTAAATTTCTGAAAGTAGAGAGAATAGCTTTGTGTTACCGAATGGAGGAGAGAGGCCGGACAGCAAATGAATTAACAGCCTTCTCTGGAAACAGGGCTGAGTGTCTCTGCACTAACTGCAGGTCCCAGGGACAGAGACCAGTGCGGACAGCTGTTCTGCTCTGTTCTCCTGGGAAATCGAGGGGACAGCACCCCACACCATCTCAAATGCCACGGGGCTATTACTTGGTTTTTGTTTGTTTTGTTTGTTTATTTGTTTTTTTTTTCGGGACAGGGTTTCTCTGTGTAGTCCTGGCTGTCCTGGAACTCACTCTGTAGACCAGGCTGGCCTCGAACTCAGAAATCCGCCTGCCTCTGCCTCCCAAGTGCTGGGATTAAAGGCGTGCGCCACCACCGCCCAGCATGGGGCTATTACATTAGGTTGTTTCTCCCTCACCCTCACATCCTGTGCCCATCAATTCTTAGCACGACTTCCTCTCTCTATCCCTGAGAACAGCTTCCAACCCAGATCTGCACTGGCTCTGGAGACAGGTTCAGAGCCACCCATCCCAGGGCTGCCTCTCATCCTGTAGTTGCCAGAGTTTCCACAGGCCAGAACTCAAGCTTTAGTCTCCTCAGCCTAGAGTCTGGGCTTCCTGAAACACAACAGGAGAAAGTGCAATGCAGATTCTGATTTGTTTATCTTTGAGATTTTCTTTTTATTTTGTGCAGTGTGGGTTTTTGCCTGCATGTATGCCTGTGCACCTCAGGTGTACAGTGTCCAAGGAAGCCAGAAGAGGGAGTGTGCCTGGGAACTGAAGTTATCTGTTAGCTGTGATGTGGATGTTGGAAACTGAAGGAGGCTCCTCTGCTAGAGCAGTGAGTGCTCTTAACTGTGCCATTTCTCCAGCCTCAGACTTTGATTTAATTTATTTATTAAAGAAATATTTTGCCTTTAATCCCAGCATTTGGGAGGCAGAGACAGGCGGATTTCTGAGTTCGAGGCCAGCCTAGTCTACAGAATGAGTTCCAGGACAGTCTGGGTAATAAGAGAAACCCTGTCTCAAAAAACCAAAAAAAAAAAAAAAAAAAAAATTTTTTTTTCCGAGGGGGACAAGGTATATATACATAGCCCTGGCTGTCCTGGAACTCTCAAAGAACTGTCTGATACTGCCTTCCTTGTGCTGGGATTAAAGGCATGTGCAACCACACCCAGTGGGGGGGTAATGTTTATTTTGTGTGTATGTACATGTGTGTGCAGACCTCTTGCATTAATTTGTTCTTTTCCTCCAACACATGAGTCCTGGGAATTATACTCAGATCATCAGGCTTGGTGGCAGTCTCCTATATCTACTGAACCATCTACTTAGCCCCAGATTCTGATGTCTAAAATTCTCCTATGCCTGAGGAGTGTGGCGCACTAACTGACAAGCTCAGTTGAGTCCCCAGGTTTTGACTCCCAGCATCATAAGCACGCTCACAAAAAACCAAGCTGAGTGTGGTGAAGTATGCCTATAATCTCATTAGTGGGGAGGCAGAGGCAGGAAGATGACTACAAGTTCCAAGCCAACATTGTTTACAAAGTTCCAGCCAGGGGCACCAAGCCAAATCTCTCTTTCAAAACAAATTCGGGTTGCTCAACGGTTAAGAGCACATATTGCTCTCTCAGAGGACCTAAGTTCAGTTCCTAGTGCCCACATCAAACGGCCCACAACCACCTGTAACTCCGGCTCCAGGGAGGTTCAACACCTTCGGAGCCTTTTCAGGTACTTGTACTCACCTGTGCATATCCACAGACAGACTGACAGGTACAGACACACGTACACTCATACAACTTAAAAAAATAAAAATTAACCTAAAAAGCAAAGCCTCCAACAAAAAGAACAAACTACCCCCTACCCCAACAAAACAAACTGGAAATTCAAGCCTACCCAAACCATTATGTGGCTCCAAAAGCCATCTTTGGGTAAAGATGAGGAGGGAGGCGAGGCTGGGATATAGGATGCCAAAAGTTAGCCTCTGTGCTTTCCCTTCTGACTCCAACCAAGATTTCTGGTCTTTAACAAGATGCAGTATCTTATTTCTCTCGCTTTAGTAGGGTCCTGGTTAGGGACTGTGAGGTTGGCTCAGTAAAGGGATTGACTTTGAGATACAAACAACGCTGAAAGCTATGTTTGGGGCCCAGTAATAAATCTACATCTCCCCAAGAATGGCATCTATAAGCCTTGGTTCGGGGCTTCTACCTCTCCCTTTGGCAGCCAGCCTTATGAATTCTGCATACAGGCTGAAAATCAGTGCCGATGCTGGGGAGAGGTTACAGTTGCGAGCTTGCATGCAACAGGGTCCTTGGTGGCTTGAGCTACTACCTCCTAGGACATCCAAAATACACCACTTAAACATCCGCTTTAAGGCTCCCAACGCTACAGTCCCACAGCCCCATCCAGCCAAATCTAGAGCTTGCTGCATTTTGTAATCTAGAGCGGTACAGGCCAGAGCCGGGTTACCCAACTGTAGAGGCCCCACCCGCGTTTGCAGGGCGGGTGATGGCAGTAATTCCTGGCAAGTCTCAGCCTGCTCGGAATTAACGGGCCTGCCTCACCCGGAAAAGAGGGACCCGTGCCTCAGGCCCCTCCCCGTCAGGCACCTGCCTTCCAGAGCTGCGGTCCAGCACTGGAACCCACATACGTTAGAAGCCCCTAAACCCACCGTAGGAAGGGTCGGGTGCCTGAGGCTGTGCTGTGGGAGGGAGGACTGCTCTCCGGGGGCTGGCACAGGTGCGTCCGAGGGACCCGCACTCCATGCCGGCCCTTTCCTACCCACCCCTCGCTTTCCCCTCACCTGAGACCACCAGTGCCTCGTTGGGGCCCACCGTGTGGCAATTGCCCATGGCGCCGCTGGCAGGCAAGCAGGCCTCGGGCTGCAGCGACCTGGAGGGCTGTGGCGGGTCCGCAGCACCGGCCGCGCCCAGCCTATCCCGCCTCCCCCAGCCCCGCCCGGCTGCGCCCCTCTGCGGCCGCTGCCCCGCCGGAAGTGTAGCGGCGGAGGGCGGGGCCGGCATGTTGAAAGAGGCGGGAGCCAGCGCATCCGCAGTCAGCTCGCTTTATTCCAGGGGGCTTGGCCCCTTAGCACCTTTGGGGAACCTCAGTAGTATAACCTTGCTCTGCGTCACCTTGGGCACTCGCCCTACAGCAGACCCCGGGGCTCAAAACCCCAGTCCGTGTCCTGAGTCCTTTCCTAATTCTGCCTCCATAAAAATGGGGGTAAATTTAACTACCTAGCTAGAAAGTTGGAAAGGGCTGGATTCAGTCAGTAATGTTTAACATCTGCAGTGCATCAACCACAATGTCCGCAGCCCTTCCCCGGGGCAGATCACTACGCAAGGAAGGGCCCAGAAATCTGAAAATCAAATTCCAGAGCAACACAGTGTCTGATAATATCATCCCTGAATCTGGGGTTACAGTGTGTCTTAGGAAGTAGACTTCATTTCCTTTCACAAGGAAAAGGGCTGTTTAGGACATGACAAGAGGTTCCGAGGTAAATGTGGCAACCCCTCAGTACCCAGGCACACAACTGAGACTTTGAGGGATCCCACTGTGCTACAAAAGCATTCTATCCCAGGGGTTAGGAAACTTAGGGCGTAGGTTCATCCTTCACCTGAATTCTTCGTTGTGTCAATTTGGATAAGTCTTGTGAGCCCCGATAGCTACCAGAAGGTCCAGAAACTGTGGTTTTCTCAGGGCTGAGGGCACTCAGAGAAGATGGGTCCCTGGGATCCAGAGGTTCCGGCTCTTCATCAGGGTCATCATCTTCTCCAGGCCCAAGCCCTGCCAGCTTCTTGGTAGCTTTCCATAGCCTATGAGCAGCCTGGTCATCTCTAGCAGCTGGAGAGACCTCCTCTACATGGCAGTTGGCAAAATATCTCCCGCTGAGGGGCTCAATGCCCTCCTGCAGAGCGCAGTACAGAGGTGTCTGGGCACCTCCTTGAGGTGCCCGGAGCACCAGCCAAGCCAGTGGGCGCAAAATAGGACACAGCCATCCAGGAAGGTGACGCAGGAAGAGCTCTGAGTTCACAGGTCCTGTGGGCAAGAAGAAATAGGATTTGTGGAGGAAGACAGTGGGGGGCCCAGGCACCAGGTAGGGAAAAAAAAAACAGCTAGCAGCAGATTGTAGAATCTGCTTCCGGGGAAACCATTTATTTCCAGGGAAAGTATCTACACTTTGCCTTGTGGGGCCCCACAAGGTGATTTAACCCATTTCCTACAGAAAGCCTTCCTACCAGCCTAACGGCCTGTACCAGTCCCATCTCCCAGGCTGTGGTTAAGTGTGTCCTTTGTTCTCTGCTGTTCAATCTCTATCGCCTCCCCACCCCCTTTTATTGGTGCTGGTGCCTTGAACCCTGGGTTGTATACATGCTGGCAGGTACTTCATCAACTGAGCTATATCCCTGGTCTCTTCCTTTCTTTTCTTTTTTTTGTTTTTTGTTTTGTTTTTTTCGAGACAGGGTTTCTCTGTGTAGCCCTGGCTGTCCTGGAACTCACTCTGTAGACCAGGCTAGCCTCGAACTCTTGAACTCAGAATTCCGCCTGCCTCTGCCTCCCAAGTGCTGGGATTAAAGGTGTGAGCCACCATCACCCGGCTCTTCCTTTCTTTTTGAGAAAGAGTCTCACTCCTCTGTAAGTCCAGTATGGCCAGGCGGTGGTGGCGCACGCCTTTAATCCCAGCACTTGGGAGGCAGAGGCAGGTGGATTTCTGTAGACCAGGCTGGCCTCAAACTCAGAAATCCACCTGCC